TTGGTAGGATAGTAAAGTGGGCCAAAACGAACGGTCTCAGATTAAACGCTGCCAAAACGCAGGTTCTGCCTATATCGTTTGATCCTCTTGATTTAAGAAGTTTGCCGTCATTAATGCTGGGCAATACGGAGTTGAATTTCCAATCCGTTGTAACGAATCTTGGTTTTAAAATGAATACACATTTAACTTGCACAGATCACATTAGCCATTGTATATCCAAGATATATTTGATTCTAAGGAATTTATGGCAAACGTGTAGCTGCCTACCAACTAACACAAAACTTAAATTGGTACGGTCTCTTATTGTACCCAACATTTCGTATTTCGATAAGTATATATGGATATGTACATAAAAGATATTTGGTAATGTTTAGTAAATTTTGCTTATATGTTTTGGTAGAAAAAGTGTATCGTAGCCCATACTACATTAAATTAATGTAGGAAGGTAATTTTCAGTCGATTATAAAAATAAGCATCTGCAATAAGAAGATATTTAATCTTTTTTTATTTACTGGCTCATTAGCCGCTCTCAATATACATAAATAGTTTTTAGCTGTGGTTTTAGTCCTGACGGAATTGTTGAGTTCGTTTCCGGCTTTTTAGCAACAAATCGTTTAAATCGTCCACTGAATTGCTTTCGTAGACCTTTCAAGCTAGGTTTTCCTTCGATTATATCCAAAGTCTTCTAAAAATAAAAAAATACATTTTATTTAATAATTTAATAATAAGTGTGGGAATACTTATACTTATACTAATAATATAATACTAATAATCAGGGAACGGATTTAACCCAAATTGACCCCATTTTGTCATATACAAACACAAAATACATCATGTATGAGAGGGTGTAAAACAAAAACCATATATGTACGTTACTAATTGCTAAAAGGTGTTCCTTTCGAATCGCTTACTCTTCCGTCCATGCCTTGCTCTCTGTCGAGTTTAATACACGTGTGATCTTTAAATAAAACATGAAAGGTATAAAAATAAGAAGTGGCAGAAAACCATCGAAATGTCATATGAGTAGTAAAGTGCGCTATGTAAATATTTTAAGATTTTTAGTTTTTGGTTGTAAACGTACCAGTATTTAAAGTAGTTTCATGTCCACTAACAATACAATGCAAAATCCTTATATATTCTGAAAAAAATAGCATCAAATGTTAGCTACTCCAGCAAAAGTCGCTATAATACTTACTGTATGTATATATACACTTTCAAAACTCGCTTTAATATTAATTGTACGTATTTATATAAGCTCAAAAGTCTCCATATTCTGATGAACTTAAAAAACTGCAAGAAAACGTGGTAGTTTCGGTGCCTAGTGGAAGATGTCCTAAAAAAGAAGCAGGCCAACCTTCATGGAAGAGAGAACGCGAAAAGCTATAAAAAAAGCTGGCTATGTAAAAGTTACTGTTTCAAAACTCGCTATATTAATTTTTTATAT